GAGGGGAGGGGAGGAGAGGGGAGGGGAGGAGAGGGGAGGGGAGGAGAGGGGAATGGAGGAGAGGGGAACAGAGGAGAGGGGAACGGAGGAGAGGGAGAGGGAAAGGAAAAAGGAAGAAAGAGAGAAAGAAGAAAGAAAGAGAGAGAAAGAAAGAAAAAGAGAATGAAAAGAAAAAAGGGAGAAGAAAGAAAAGAAGGAAAGAAAGGAAGGAAAGAAAAGAAAAGAAAAAAAGAAAGAATCAACAATGGGTGGGCTGGCTTCAGTGAATCACCATATGTCGATCTAAACAAATATTATGCACCCATTAATATTATAATCATAGAAGCTGTGAAGAAAACACGGGAAATGTTTGCTCTGGCAGATGAGAAAACAAAATGTAAATGATGTATGCACTCGGGCTGTAGTTACCTAGGAGGTTGTGTGCGTTCTCAACAGACTATGGCCAATAAGCTATGATGACCTTTTCAGCGTCTCGGTTACATCCACGTGGTTCATTTCCTCACCTTCCTCAGGTCTGGACTCAAATGTCCCCTTCCCGAGAGACTGTCCCCTGAACACTCTGAGTTTCCAGCTCCACCTCCTCCCCCAGCCTCCTCTCCTCCATGCTCCTTGTAGCCGTTATTATCATTTGGCATTATCTGGCCAATTAATGGTGTTGTATCTCCCTGAACTTGCCTGTAAGTTGCATGAGGGTAGAGGCTTTGATTTATTTGCTCACTGCTTTATCTCCAGCTCCTGGAACAGTGCCTGTCCAATGGGCACTCAGTAAATATTTGTAACTGAATAAATCGCACAGTCAGTATGCGTCAATCGTCAATCGTGTCTGAAAGCCGCATGCTCCCTCTATAGCTGTCACCTTGGGGAACAGGTTTCCCACGGCTGCCAGCTTTCTCTCAAGGATGCTGCTGTGGCTTTCCAGAACACTCCACCCCTCAGAGCTTGCATATCCTTGAATGAGGCAAATCTTTGTCCTTTGAGAACAGGTTTGATTTTTGGCCAACAGCCACCATTAAGTTGTAGCCAAGTGTGGTGAATAAGCTAGATGATTAACCCAGATAATATAATCCCAGGTCCCAAATACAGCATGACTCTACAGGAAGGAGATTAAACTGACTCCGGGAGCAATTTCCGAGAAATTCTAGAACAATGTGAGCAACGGCAGTGTCACTGGAAAAAAGTCAATGGCCTAGATAACCCTGGCTACCTGGACACTAACTGTGATGGGAAGAATATTAATTTATGAAAATGCAACTTCCCGAAGTGGTCACTTCTAGGGGACAGAGTTCATTCAGATGCATCATTTCTGAGACCCTGAAGAAAAAAGATCAGTCACTTCTTTACACTCTGTCAATGTTCATACAACATTTGGGTGAAGCCCGCGAGTTCCAGGCCTAGGGCAGGAGCTGGGCAGCCTGTGGGAGGAGGTGGGGAGGTCTGGGAATGCCCCTCCTTTCCAACCACAGTGCCCTGCCACAGGGTCTGATGGCACCTCAAGGACCCAGGGGAAGAAGTGTCTCATAACTACTAGAAACCTGGTTCCATCACAAGGCAAGAAAGTGGATGAACCAGCCATGCTGATGAGGAGCAGAAGCCATCTTCTGTTTCTTCTTCCACTGTGTGAAAGTTAAAATAATATTTTGTGGCTCAGATGGAAACCCCAGATCTCATTCCTATCTGGATTACTCACCCCCAGTTCCCAGGATAAGGGGCCAGGAGTGGATCAATTTGTTGATTAGAAAGGGCACCCATAGGTCTGAATGATACCAACTTCCCTCCAAACTGGGGGTCCCTAAATAGTTGCCCACACTTGGAAACAGTCAGTGGGGAGACTGAGGAGGCTGAAAGAAGAAGCTTTTGCTCTCCTAGGCCTGGCACAGCTCTGCCCCTTCTCGAGGTCAGAGCTCTGCAGCTGGCCTCAACAACTGCTAATTTATTACTTGCATTAGGACTGTCAGGAACAGTTGTTCAGGCTGTGCATTGCACAAGCACACTATGTTTGTGAGGGTGCCAGTCACTTCGTAGACATTGCACGTTCATGACAGTAATTCCAAGCAAATGGCAGTAAGCATTCTTCTTCTAACAAAACCAGTATATCCTGTCAATTTTCTAACAGAAAGTGGTGTCTTGGGGAATGGGTATAATGGCAGCCTGCGTACATAGATGAGACCCATAGAGAAGGAATTGGATGCAGACTTTAGAAGGCTGCCTACAAACAGGACAGCTTAGCCTGGCACTGCCGGGGAGCTGGGGAAGGGTGGTGATGACTGCCATCCCAAGCTGCTCCAGGAGCTGCTACCACAGCTTAGGAGCTGCATCTGGTTCTGAGATTGCTCCCCAAGCCCAAGGTTTCTTCCGTAAGCATCACTGGGCATTGCCACCTTGGACAGTGTTCACCTCACCTCTGAAAGCTGATCAGCTTGCACAACTCCCTAAGCAACAGGGGAGTAGCAGGGTCTGGAACAACCCCTGGCCCTCCTGCTGTATCCCCCCATACTCCTCCCTGAGCAGGATATTCCCCATAACCGTCAAAGAGGCCTCAGTACCCATCTTGTCTCTATAGAGAAGGGAGATGTAACACATTTCTCCTGGATGAGGCTGAGAGTGTGGAGCTCCTTCCCTCCAAGATGCTTGCACATGGCGGGAGTTGCGAACTCAGATTCTTACAGTGGTCAGGCAGGTGATGTAAATAAGTCAAATGGGTATGGATGAGACCATAGAGAGCTGTTGGGACTTTGGCAAGCTGGGATGTAAAGCCCCACCCAGAGGGGGCAGCTGCTACTCACCATGGTGGATTAGTGCCATGCTGGAAAAGCTCAGTGTGGCCTGATCTTCCAGTTTTTTCAAGGGAAGCTAGATTCAGATTTGAAGGTTTCTGTGTAACCTTCAAATCATTCAATATTGCCAACTAATTAAAAGCCACAGCCACCACGCTATGCAGGTCAGATGGTGTCTGGGGGCCAGATTCAGCCTGGCAGCCAGCGGTTTGCCACCTCTGCTAGAGAGCTGCATGGCATCCCAAAGGAGTCTGGAGAGGCACAGGCTGCTGCTAGGGGCGTGGGAGAGGAATTGAAAGGGGCTCTCTGAGCCTCTTGGGAGCAGATCAGTTCTGGAACTTCGCGGCTTCTAGCCAGCCCTGAGAAAGGAAGACCTGGTTTGGTCTAGATCCTGCAGATGTTCACATCAAAGAATGCCAAAAATATTATAATGGCCCAACCCCCAAGCCCAGATTCTCTCCCCAAAAGAGGTAACAGGAGGCAGAGAAGCAATAGCTAGACTGTAACCCCTCCTGCTTCCCCATAACTCCCAGGCCTGGTGAGTCCTTAATCTAAGGATGAACATAATCTGAACTCAGGTATGCAAGCCTGCATCAGCTGGGGCCAGCAGCTTCCTCAGGTTTATTACCCATAAGGTGTTGGAGAGAGAGAGAGAGAAAGAGAGAGAGAGAGAGAAAGAGAGAGAGTGTGTGTGTAAGCATATAATTAACTACTCTGAGGTGAATATCTTTTACAACATTTATAATGATTTCTGTAGGATAGATTCCTAGAAATGGCAATGTTGGTCAAAGGTGTGTGTGTTTCTAAGGGCTTTGATAGATAATACCACATTGCCCTCCTGAGAGGCTGTTATTAATTTATGCTTTTGCCAGGAAGATGTGAGAAGATTCAATCTCACAGCTGTTGCCAACACTGGGCATTGTCATTAAATTAAGTGTGTGTGTTTGTGTGTCCAAATATACATACATGGTAAATACACATTGGTGACTGATATGTAGTTCTTTAACCATTACTGAGATTAAACACATTTTCATATTTGTGTTTAATTTGCCTCTTCAAAGCGCCCCCTTCCCTGTCGTTTTGTTGTTATTGAGCCTACATTTTGGCCCCATGTTCTCCTGAGGCTTTCCTCCTTCTGGACTGAAGGGCTCTGTTTTTCTGGCCTGAGCTCCCCCCATGGCTCCCCCATCCTCTATGTCTCAGGCCCGGCCTCCAGGGCAGTCCCAGGGACTCCCAGATCCCTTGGAAGAACCCCTGGAACCAACGCCCAGTCTTCCCGGAAGCCACTCCTGCTCCTCGTCCAACCCTACTGACCTCCTTTTGCTGGCCAGGCTGCTCCTAGGCCCCTTCCCACGGAGACCTTGGCACCCCCAGAGCTGATGGGACACTGCTGTCTGGGAGAGGGTGTAGGTAAGCCTGATGGGGCAGAGGACAAGCCTAACTGCTGCCTTCTCTCTCAGGGTCCCTGTGAAGGAAGCACTCCCTGGCATCATTAAGCAGGGGATGAACTGCTTAGAATCTCAGGGCCAGAACACAGCTGGTGACTTCCTGCTTGGAATGGGGATCTGCAGAGGGTCTGCCAAGAACCCCCAGTCTGCCCAGGTTAGCTGCTTAGAACCTCGGGTAGGAATGGGAGTGAGAGAGAGCTGGGGGCATTGCTCGGAGTGGGTTAAAGGACTCCCCCCTGCTTATTCTGCTCCTCTGCCTACACCTTACACAAACCCACTTTGCCAGGGGCCCCTATACTCTGCTCCCACGCATTTGTATCCTACGCATTTCAATATGCCTGTCACTTGGGTATCCTATGTGCACCACTTGCTTTGTCCTTTCCGAGGGAGAAGTGCTGCCCAGATAGTACCCAGTTCTCTCCTGAGATGCAGCTGGGCTTGGCTCATGTGAAAGGCAATGTCCAAGACTCCCGTGCACACATGAGTGTTGCACCCACATCAAAACTAAAGCAGGTCATGGAGACCCCAGTGAGGACCAGCTCCCAGCTGCCCTGGTTCCAAGTCTTGTAATTCTCTCCCATCTCCCACAGTCCCTGGGTACAGCCGTGATTGCCCTCTGGCCAGCTCCAGCTGAGCTCCCCCACCTCAATATTTTATTATCAAAAAATTCAAACATACAGAAAAATATGAAGAATTATATAGTGAATACCCATACACCCACCCTAGCTCCTATAATTATTCATAGAAATCTTACAAAAACATGCCATGTGTTTGCTTCATCCCCTACCTACCCGTCTCTCCATCCATCGCTGTACTTTTGACTTGGCCTTTCTGCTCCCTGCCTTGCAGGCCTGGCTGTTCAGTGACCACCTCATCCAGCAGCAGGGGAAGTGCCTGGCTGCCACCTCCACCTTGATGTCCTCTCCCGGATCCCCCGTCACACTGCAGATGTGCAACCCTAGAGAAGGCAAGCAGGTGAGTCTCCTCGCCTCTGGCACAGAGACCCGGCAGCCCCAGGGGACCATGCCTCAGGGTGGCAGACCCTGGCGGGACAGACCCCAGTCAACTCGAATAATCCCTGCAGAGCAAGGATCTGGGGCAGAGGGGGAGCAAAGTCTACATCTAGATCAAGCCAGTTATTTTACCCATGAGGAAATACTTCTTTGGGTAATCATTTGTTTAGTGCCATCCTGCAGGCTGTCAGCTCCACGAAGGCAGGGACCACTTGTCTTGTTAACGCTGTATCCCTAGCTCCTGACAACCACTACGGTTCAAATAAGTGTTAGATTTTACGGACAGCCTGTGTTACATGTTTGAAATAGATCATCTCATCTAATCCACCCAGCCACCCAGCGATGTGGGTTCTAGTACTAGCTTCATTTTATAGGTGAGTCAACTGTGGCTCGCTGAATCTGAAGAACATATGTCAGATCACACCGCTGAGAAGGGGTGGAGATGAGATTCAAACCCAGGTCACTTTGACTTCTAGGCCCACAGTCTTAAGTTAGCACATAGTAGGTGCTCAATAAGTATTTCTTGACTGCTGGCAGACTGGGGAAACTGAGATCCAGACACAGTGATGTCCAAGCTGGCATGACCAGCCTCATGTGAGCACTGCCTTTCCCATTCATCCAACACTGTCACCACACTGTCACCACTAATCCTGGGAGACAGGTCAGGGTCAAGGAAGACACTGATGCACAGAGAAATGAAGTCACTTGCTCACGGTACACAGCAGCAAGTGACAGTGGCACCAGAAGCTGGATTTCCAGAGCCAGCCAGCATCCTTCTGTGCTGCTCCCTTCCTTGCTTGGAGGGCTCCCTCACTGCCCAGGGAATGGAACCCAAAGCCCAGAGGCTGCTCCAGCGCTTCCCCTGCTCATCCTCCTCAGAAGCCCTCCCTCTGCCTCCTGCTGGCCAGCCTGCAGTGAGAAAGGTGTCTGGCTGTCTGATTTGGCCCGAAGGTTTTCCTCCTACTCCCTTTTTCTTTGCCTGGGTCAGCATGTTTTTTTTAAGGATGAACAGCAGTTTGTTGTGCCGTTCTGGAAAGCAGCCATATCCTCTCCGTCCAACCTGTGTGTGTGTCTGAGGGTTTTGTGTGCCTAGCCTGCTTGCTGGGCCTGTGGAACACTTTAAGCACTTTCAGATGAAGGGGGATGCAGCCCACCCACAGCCCTGCCCTGCAGCGGGGCCAGTGCAGTGTCCCCTGCGCCTAGAGCACCCACCTCTCCGAGGGCAAATCCTTGAACCCACGCCCACCCCCTCTCACTAAGGAATTGACTTCTAGCAAAGCCTCCACTCAATTGCCCCTCTGGTGCTGAATCACCCATTTCCCCCTTTTGCGCTGACCCAGCCTACAGGGTGTATAGGAAACTCCTGGGACATGTTCATTCTGCTGCTACAAATTTTGCCAGGCTCCCAATGGCACTCTGGGTGCCTGTGCCCCTCTTCTCCCAGGAGGACAGAATGAGCAGCTATCCCACTGCCAACGCTTTCTGGAATCCAGGCCTTCCTTCTTGGTCCCCCGCTGGTCCTGTTTCCAAGGCTAGCTGGGTTTCCTGTATCCGAGAGGCTCCTGTGCCTCAGACCAGGTGTGATGGAGTCAGCAGGCCCCAGCTCAGTCTTCCCTTCCCCTCCCTTCATCTCAGTCTCCTCTTTATAAAATAAGGGGCTCCCTCCCCTGCTACCTCACAAGAAATCCACAAGAACCAAGATGGGACAGTGCATGATGTGATATTGTTTCTCAGACAAGCCCAGAATTGAGTGACCTGGAGAGTCAAGAGGCCCGGAGACTGGGCCTAATAGCACTGACAGGAAGTGGGAATCCTGCAGTTTAGGGACCACGTCCTAATGATTGGGTGATTCAATCATTCATTCATCTTAAAACAAAATGACATTCGGTGCCTACCTTGTGCCAGAGAATGCACAGATCATGTTGGCCACAAGGATGAAAGGACATGGTCCTTGACCCCCAGGGAGTTTAGTGGAAGAGAAAGAAGGGAGTGAGGCCCACCGTATCACAGAAGGCTAGATGCTAAGGTAGCACCGAGCACCAGGGCTCCCTGGGCTGAGGATGCCTATACGCTCTCCAGTTGGGCATTGCTGGAGGTTTGGCCTACATGAGGTAAATGTCAAGGGCTAAAAGTGCACGAAGAGACAGGATGCTGTGAGCTGTGGGGGATCCAAAGGCCCTTGACCTTTGGGCTCTCTGCAGGGCCATGTGGGCCCAGAGAGGCTAGGTCTCAGCCCTACCTTTCCCAACCCGGGAAGCCCAGGCTCCACACCTGCCTTCCACCCTGTGTGCATGGCCCTCCACAGCCCAAATCCTGGCCCTGTGGCTGGGTGGGCTAGTCTTTCTCCCCCCAGCTGCCCCCTGTCCACCCACTGCTCTCAGAGCCCTCTGGCCTCCCTCTACATGGTCACAAGCACTCCTGCCTCTAATCAAAGACATGGTGAATGAGAGATGGAAGAGGGGGGGTGGTTGCATGGGAGGCAAATAGGAGAGAAACCCACAATAGACCTGTCTTACTAGTAGTATTCTCCCCTGAGCCTGGAAACCCAGGTCTCTGCCTCTCATCCCTTCTCATAAAGCAACACTCCGTCCTCCAGCCAGGCACTTCCATAATGTGGTACATTATGGAAGCAGCTCTTCTCCTCCTTATCAAACCCAGGGACAGGGAGGCACCAGGAGGTGAGGGCATTTACCAGGAGCCCCTACATGACTCTGTGATGTGAGAGCTCCCGTCTCCCGCCACCCCGCTGGCCCCACATGTCATCCCTACAAAGAAGGCAACTCCCACTAGGGGTGTAGATAAGTGGCCTCACAGGTCAGTAGCTTAGGACTGCAGGAAGAAGAAATCATGTCTGCCGAAGTAACAGATTTACCTAGGCTGGGACTGACAAACTCAAGTGCCTGCAGGGAGCTGGTGGGAAAACCCCGATAGGAGAAAATTTGGGACCAGGCAGGAACTATGGTGAACTGGAGAACAAGAGCCCATCTAAGGCAGAGGGCAGATCCTCAGCCCCAGCAATTGATGCCACCTAAGAAACTGGGCCCAATCACTAAATAGAAGCTAGAAATGCAGATTTGCACATGGCAACCAAGCTAAATTGTAAATAAGCACAGGGTACTTCTGCTTTGCCTCCTCTGATCTAGACAGGAACTTCTGCAAACTACAGAAGCAAGATCCCACTGGGAAGGGCAGGGCTTAAAGCTTGTGTTAGGGGTAGGGTGGGGGTAGCCTCTTACATAGGAACACACAGCCTGGTTTACAAGGGGCATGACTGGGCATGGTAGCTCTTGCCTGTAATCCCAGTGCTTTGGAAGGCCAAGACAGGTGGATTGCTTGAGGTGACAAGTTTTATCTAGACCAGCCTGGGCAACTGCAAAAAATTGAAAAATTAGCTGGGCATGGTGGTGTGCACGTGAAGTCCTAGCTACTAGGAGGCTGAGGTAAGAGGATTGCGTGAGCCCAGGAGTTTGAGGCTGCAGTGAGCTATGGTGGCACCACTGTAAGATCAAGATCATGTCTAAAAAAAAGGAGGAGGGGGTGTGTCCTAGTTATATACAAGGGTTACGTACATGCACGTGAAATGAAAGTACAACATTATTTTTTAAAACCATTGTTTTCTCCTTCTTCTCTTAACCCATCTCCGTTCCTCCTAGAAATGGAGGAGAAAAGGATCTTTCATCCAGCACTCAGTCAGTGGCCTCTGCCTGGAGACGAAGCCTGCCCAGCTGGTGACCAGCAAGTGTCAGGCTGACGCCCAGGCCCAGCAGTGGCAGCTGTTGCCACACACATGACGGTAGCCCTGGGGCCTCCTGTACCTTTTGCATGAGACTTTGGGGCCGGAAGGGGGTTAGGGTAGGGGAGTGCAAAGTGGGCCGTTCCCATCCCCTCACATTTCCGCCGGGACCATCAGCAAACACCCACCACCACACACGTTCTCCAAAGCTTGTTCCAGGAGGGCGCAGGTGGGCATGCCCCATGCCCTCAGCGCTGTCCTGGCCTTGCCCCCGGGAGAGGAGATGGTCAGGGTGCCAGACTATTGCCGGGTAGAGACTGAGTAGGTGCCCCTGGCCCTTTGTCCTCTCCCTTGGCACTTCTTGGGGCTGGGACTATAGTGTGTGGTCTCTCCCTTGTCACTTGAGGAGAGCAAGGACAGAAGGCCACATGGGGGCCTGTTGGGTCATGAGGCCCAGTGGTGTGGGCAGGCAGGGCGAGGAGAAAGTGGGCAGTGTGGATGGAGAGGCTGAAGGCTGGGAAAAGAGGGAAGAAGGGGAGAGGGGCAGCCTGCAGGGGCAGGAAAAGAACAGGAAGGAAGTAAGAAGCCCAGTGACCTGTCAGAGATGCCAAGCCCAGGGTGCTGCTGGGTTGGATGGGGGATGGATGGGATCTTGGCAGCAAGAATGGGTAATTTGCAATGAATGTGGATAGAAGAGCAGCAAAGCCCCAAAAGAACAAGGTCTCTTCCCCAGGACACAGTCCCTTCCACACTTTACCAGCCCCAGGGCCTGAGCCCAACGCTGTACCTCGGTCCTGTGCCTGCGGGTGCCATGTTCCTGAGCAAGAGGCTCAAAGGGATCTCTAGGGGAAGACTCCAGCTTAGTTTATCAGACAGACTCCACTTCTTTTTGGCCATGTGTCAGGCTGAGACCGCTCTCTCGGGCATTAATGAAGGGCTAGTGCCCTGTCCCTGCCGTCAGGTCCCATTGAAAAGACATGTAGCCGCACACATCCTTGAGTAGCCGCAGCCTCGTTTGTCATTTTTGACTCCTGCTTTCTCAAAGCTTTTTGCCTCTTTCAATACAGCATCATGGATCAGTGTGGTTGGAAAGAAGGGACCTCCTTTCTGGACTATGAACAGCCCCTACGTCATTAGAGGCTAAGCCATCCAGGCTCAGCCTCACCTTTATTCCCCTCCCCACTACAGGAGGGATTTTTTTGAAGGATCAGCTATTACACTGGGCTGGGAGGCTGGCTGTGGTTCCTGTTTGTGTAGAGAACTCCCAGTTCCTTTCCACAGCCACTGAGAGCATATTCACACATCTACCCCGCGGCCTTGTCTTGGAACTGCTCCTGCTATCCCCACTCCTTTCTTCCCTCACCCCACTGGCTCAGGAAGTGTGACCTTGGGCAAATGATTGTTGGCACCAGGACCCTGGGAGTCTCCCTATAAAGCAGACCAGCCTGGGGCAGATACATCCACTACAGGAGCCCCCTGTCTTTCATAGGCCAAGGATCCACACACCCATAGAGAATTCATGGATTCCAGAGGGTCTAGGAATCTCCTGAAATTGTCCCTAAAATATTGCATGTGTGTGCATAAACGCATTTTCCTGGGGAAAGAGTCCATGGCTTCTTAAAGAGGTCCCTGATCCCCAAAGGGCCTGAACCTCTGCTCTGGATTGAAGCCACTGTCTGCCCAAGCTGCCATCTCCCAGCCTCCCTCCCTGGTGTGCTCAAACCACCATTGCCTGCTCCCTCCACGAGGCCCTTGAGGTCAGCGGCCAAGTGTCGGCAGCCAAGTGTCGGTGGTCCACAGCACCTGCTCTGGAGGGCTCTCCAGCAGTTTCGTCTCCTCTCACCAGCGTCCTCTTAGCAGCGCTCCTGTGCCCAAGTGCAGCCCCCTGGACTTGCCAGCGCAGGGCCCTTCGCCCCAGGGCCATGCTTCACCCGTCCTCTGTCGTGATGTTTCATCCACAGCCAGGTGCAGCCTCAGATCCTCTGTTCATCTGGGAAGCCTCCTGCCACAGCTTAGGACTGAACTGGACCCAGGGCAAAGGCCTCTCCCCAGAGGATGGACTAGGAGGCCTGGGCCACACTCGGGTGTGGACCTTTGGGGCTGGGGAGCGGTGGCTGCTTCTGTCGACTGTAAGAGGGCTGCTGACCAGAGGGCCTTCGAGAGGGTCTCTCCCTCCTTTGCTGTGGTCAGGCCAGGCTCTGCACTTATCGGCCGGTCCTTTGTGGCAACTCAGCTCTATTCTGTTTTTGCTTTTCCTCTTTTTGACCAAAGCATGTGCCACTAGCTGTCCTTGAGGACTTCGTCTTTATGAAACACACGCCTGGAATAAAACCACTTCTTACATGTCCACGTGCACCAGCGCCTTCCTTTCTGCCTCCAGCCCTAGCCCTTCAGCACCACCCTCCCCCACCTCGTGGGGGAAGCCAGGGCCTCCTTTCTGAAAAGTGAAACTGAGCATGCTCAGGCCTAGCCCCCTCCTGCACCTGGTAGCTTGCTCGTCGGCCTCCGTGCCCTGTGGTACCCTAGGAACTCCTGACTACTCTGGCAGGGGCCAACAGGTGATCCTACTGCAAGGGCAGGCCTGGCACCAAAACCAGGAAGCAGCTCAGGTCAGGCTGAGCCCAGGTTCCTGTGGCCTCATCACGGGATCCTACCTGGGGCTTAGAAATGTAAAACAAATGGCTTCTCCGAGTAGGTATGGCCCTGCCACCATGCTCTCCTTCCCTGGAAGCCAGCCCTGTCCCCTTGGAGCTGCTCTCCCCTGTTCTACCATGCAAGAAGGCAGTGGTACAAATTCAGGCAGGACACACTTCCTGGGTAAAAACAGCAAAATAATTCTGAAAAGTGTCTTACCAGACTAGCCTTGCTTGATTGGGTAGCAGATGCTCTGCCTAATGTTTCCATGGAAACCAATGGAAAACCCCCACCATGTCTGTGATCAGAAGCTGAACCTACCCAGGTAAAAATAAACGCTGCTTCAACACACATAAGAACTGCAGTCGGCAGGCCAGTGCACCACTAGCCTCTCCTGGACGCAGCCATTTCTGCCCTCAGCCCCACTTTGCCGTAGGGCTGCTGATCTGGAGTTACCCAGAACTTCTGACCCCTGGGGCGAAAGAGCCTGGAGCAAAGCCCTCGCTGGCTGCAGAGCATACAACTTGGCTCCAGTGTCCAGCTTGGTCTGAGCTTAGGAGGCAAGTCACTGTAAAAGACCCTGGCTGCAGTCTCCATCCCCCGATCCATTCCTCCGTCCGCTCAGGGAGCACAGCCCACCACCCACTGCCTGCTCGGGCCTCCCTCCTGGCACGCTGGGCCCCGTTTCCACTCTCCATCTATTTTCACTCTCAGCCTTGGAGGGCTCTGGTGCTGGCCCCTCCTGAGTCAGGCTCTCTCCTCTTGCTTGCTCTCCTCCAAACCTACCTCTCCCGAGGCCCATTTTCTGTACCACCTACTTTTTTCCCTGGGAGCTAAGGTTGTCAGCCTTTAGCCAGCCCCTGGAGGAATCAGCAAAAGCCCCAGGTTGGCTATTAACAGTTGTGTCACTGGCAGGAGAGTCCCCCAAGAGCCTACAGGGGAGGGGGTGCGCCAGGAGGGACTTCTGCACCAGGGCCAGACTCCCATTTTACAGCAGTGAGCAGTTCCTGGATCCCTGGGGCTCTGTGACTTGGCTTCAGTTTTTACAAGGGCTCTTTCCCCGGCCCCTCAGGAGGGCTGTCTCCATTTGCAGTTGGGAGAAATAACCTGGACAATATGACTGTCCTCCCAGGGCTCCAGCACCCCAAGGCCTGCGGGAGAGGTCTCCCAGCACCACATGTGGTGTGGTCCTCTCCCACCAGGGAACAGGAAAGGAAACCTGGAAAGGAAAGGCTGGAGCTTATAACGTCTGCAATTTCATTGCCAACAATGTTCTCAGTGTGTTTGGTATTTGCGTGTCCCTGTGATGGCCGGAGTCAGTGCTCCTCCAGAAGGAGGGGGAGACCCAGCCAACTTCTCTTATGGGAAGAGGTCCCCACTGCCAGGCACTTGGGAAAGACCTGGAGATGGAGCAGGGGAGGCCCTACTCTCTCCTGGCCTGGCAGCTGGGCTGTCTGAGTAGCTGACCCGGATTGAAGCTCCACAGCCATCTGAGGACACTGTCTCCTGCTGAATTCAGCCCTGTGACGTGTGGAGAAGAGTGTACAGGGGCTGTGGGCTCTAACGACCCATTCAAGCCAGGCGCAGTGGCTCACACCTATAATCCCAGCTATTCAGGAGGCTGAATTGGGAGGGTCCTTTGAACCCAGGAGTTCAAGACCAGCCTGGGCAACATAGGAAGACCCTATCTCTACAAATAAATAAAAATTCAATTAAAATTTTTAAAATACCCAGTCAGCTAGATCCCTCATTACTCTGCCATTTGCCAGCTGTGAGCTCTTGAATAAGTTATTTCATCTCTCAGCCTCGATTTCTTTACCTGCTAAATGGGGTACTTACAGCCATAAAGGATTTTTTGTGAAGCCTGATTGCAAAGCATCTGGCCCTTTCTAAACGCTTAATCAGTTTGTTATTACTATTATTAATAAATATTTTCGGAGTCCCTGCTACATGCCAAGCACTTTGCTAGAGGTGATGACACAAACATAAACAAGATAGAAATGGTCCCTGCCCTCAAGAACAAATATTCTAGCAGAGGACCATCAGCAGCAGCTGTGATGCCACACAGTAAAAGCTGCAGGGGAAAGCAGGAGCTCCGGGAGCAAGGAGAGGGAACTCTCACCCAGGGTGTCAGTGAGTTGGTGCTCCCTCCCCAGAAGGCGATGCTTCCAGGACAGCTTAAATGACATTCCAGGCAATGGCTGCCTCAGGCTGGATAAAGTTTGGGCAGGATAAGGTCTGGTGAAGTCCACTGGCCACACTCGCAGACTTGGCAATTCAGCTGGCACCTTGCCGGGTGGCCTGGGCTTTTTACCCTGCAGGCAGCATCGTGGTGATAGAGACCAGCCTGTTACAACAGGGGAATTCTAGAAGGAAGCTATGGGAGCCATTTCAACCCCAACAGACATGGCCTGTGCTTCTTGACCTAGGGACCATTTCTCCAGGGCTCGGTATTCTGCCTTCGGGAAGGTGGGACTAGTTGGCATGGGAATTTGTGACCCTTATCTGGAGAGAACAGATACTTATCGTGGAGGCGTTCCAGGGAAGACTTGTCTTTGTCATGCTTTCAGGTTGCTTCTGATCCCCTCAAGCCATCTGAAAACAAAGCCTGTCTAACAATTTGTCTTTCAAATAAGTGTCTCTTAAGATGTGGTCCAGATAACCTGCTCAGTATCCCTGGAGGGATTGTAGATCTGTATGCTCCTGAGTCTGACCCAGACTGGCGGGCTCAGCATTCCCATGTCTGTATTGAGTGGCCCAAGTGATGTGTTTGCACATTTAAGTCCTGTGTACCAGGAAGGGGAGCTCGGGGCCCCGGGAGGGGAAGATGTGCAGGAGAGAGTCAGGAGGAGCTGGGCTCAGGATTGTGTTCCCTGACACTCAGCACTGGACTCACCGCAAGAGGGAGAAGCCAAGGGGAAAGATGGCAACCCTTGGACTCCTTACTATACTTTCCCAGGAGCCAGAAGAATGTAGGGACTGGAGTCTGAGCCCAGCAGTGGCAGAGAAAGTCCCCAGCTGGGAGACCCTCAGTTGGTTGGGAAACCAGGGATGGCAGGAGAATCTTGGGGACTTTCTGGCAGGAGAACCAGGAAGTAAGAGTCTTTGGAGACAGCTGCTCTAGGACCACCCCGAAGGGGTCTCTCTTGAGTCAGAGACGGCTCCCAGCATGGCAGGAGGCTTGTTGCTCTCCCCGTGGGTGGACTGCAGGTCCTACAGCCTTGTTAGACAGAGCTCCAAGTTTCTCTGCTCACAAGGGCAGGGGCTGCCCCTCGCCCAGGATGACTCTGCCTTCCAGAGCCTTGGTCTCCATGGGGGTGGGAGTGTGGGGGATGCTAAAGTTAAATCAGGTCATAGGAAGTCGTGAAGTCAGTAGGTGGAGCAGCAGAGTGGCACTAGGGGCTTTCTCTTGGGTGTGTGGGGTGGCCTTGGTCCTGCAGTAATCTGGTGGGGGCATGGGGCTGACTTCTCCTTCTGAAGGATGCTGGGAAGGTGAGCTGGCTCTGGCAGTGCTTAGAGCTCCCGGGGGATCCCCCACCTAGACCATGCAAACTCTCACCCCTGTGCCTCATCATCACGTCTATCATCAAGCCCACAGTGGTGTGCTGGACACCTGCCCCACAAAGGACGTGGAATGCTCTCGGAGGAGCCCCGTGAACCACCGATGGTCACAGCTGTCCAGTGCCTGACAGCAGACAGCCAGGCCAACCTCAGCTCCCAATCTGTCTTCCTCACCCTGCAATCAACCAAACTGACCTGAATCATGTAGTTTGAAGTTGCTTTCTGCTTTCTCTTGTTGGTGCTTTTGCTGTTCTTCCCCATACTTTGTTAACTCCATGGGTTAAATGCTACCCATTTTTCCAGACAAATAAATGACGCCTCCACAAGGAAACACTTCCTGATCCGCCACCTGTCTGAAAAGAACCTCTCCAGCTTGCTTCTCGAGGGTGTCGAGTGTTCCTTCCCAGCCTGTCATCACCTTCCTCCGTCTGCCATGAGGTGCTCCTGTCTTCGCTACTCTCGTCCTCTTTTTTTCTGTTAGATTGTAGCTCCTTGCTGACAGGAAGCATGCCTGCTCCAGCTTCATACCGCCCACTGCCACAGCACAGAGCCTGCTTCTCAGACTTACGGCAAATGTCTGTTTGCTGAATGAATTAATTAAAGATAAAGCATTCTACCTGGGCTTGTTTTTGTTTTGCTTTGTCTTTTAACGATAAAGCATTTTGACATTTAGGAATTAGTACATTGCATCCAGAAAGCACACAGTATACATTTGTTCATTGTTCCTCTCACTTCTTCCAAGTTTGGTACTGTCACAACTCCACTCTCCCTATTCATTAGTTGTCTCAAAAACAATGTGTCGCTGATGCTGAGGACTGACACAGACTGAGCACTTTCTGGGTACCCAGAATCTTAGTAAGGCTGCCATATGCACCGCAGTGAGATAGGTTCTGATACACTCACTTTACAGACGAGGCTTAGTTGAGAGAAGAAATTTGCCCAAGGATAAACAGCGAGGTTTAAACTCACTCCCACAGGAGCATGTGTCAATGGTCCTGCAGACCAGCCCCTTCAGTTGGGAACTTATTAGAAATGCAAACTCTTCTCCGGGCACAGTGATTCATGACATAATCCCAGAACTTTGGGAGGCCAAGGTGGGAGGGTCACTTGAGCTCAGGAGTTTGAAACCAGTCTGGGCAAAATAGTGAGACC